TTCTCGTCCCCCCCCATATTGGAGGGGTGGGGTAGGGTGGGATGGGACTCTTGGGAGCATTGGGACCGCTTCGGGGCCGTTAGAAAGAGAGCGCCCCCCGGTGGTGGGTGGAGCCTTCTTGCCTACCCAGCGGGCTGGGTCGGATTTTTTTCCCCCCTCTTCTGGAAAGAGGAAATGCGGGTTAATGTTAGTCTCAGTCTTAAGGCTTTGAAAGGGTCCGACCGCTGGTTTGAAAATGTTCGTTTCAAAGCACGTGTCTCGAATATGAAGGAGACCGATTTAGGTGTCAGGGGCTACAGAAAGTGATTCTGACATTGCAGGTGACTCTGGGGCTGGGTGCTGCTCTGCCTCTGTTTTAGATAAAGCAAAATCCAAATAGCTGTTTCCAATGTGCCTGATTATAATATACCTACAGTGACCATATTTTCTTGGAGAAATAAAGGACAAACCTGAAAAAGGGGCAAATCCGAAAGAGGTTCATAAGGATTAAAAAAAATTGTTTATGTCTATAACTTTGCCTTACAAAGGAAAATTCAAGAGCAAAACCAAGAAAATAAATGATTAAATTAAATAAAACTAAAGGACAGCTTTTTGAAATAAAGGGTTGCCCGTTATAATATAAATAATTGTATTACATTTATTATCATTTATATTATTATTAATATAAATAAATTTATAGTCATTATAAATTATTTTTGATTTTGCTTTTCACCCTTACTATGATTAATGCTAGTGGCAAAGCATTCTTTGGGAGGACCAATATTTTTATAATGATAAATCAGCTTTCTTAGCAGAAAGTTCAGTGAAGTGGAATATAATCTAGAAATTATTAATCATTTTGACTTTTGGTCTTTGTTTACTTCAGGTAACTTTATATCACCAAATGGTTAAATTAATTTGCACTTTGGCAGACCACAAAGATGATGTCAACTATTGTGCCTTCTCCTCTTCCTATTTGGCTACATGTTCCTTGGACAAAACAGTCCGTTTGTATTCGTTAAACAATTTTAATGAGGTTCCTTACTCACCATTGAAAGGCCACACTTACGCTGTCCATTGCTGCTGCTTCTCTCCTTTGGGACATATTTTGGCTTCATGTTCTACAGATGGCAACACAATTTTGTGGAATACTCAAGATGGATTGAAACTGGCAGTGTTGGAGCATCCCTGTAGAAGCCCTCTAAGAACTTGTCGATTTTCCCCTGATTCTAAGTGTTTGGTTTCAGGAGCTGCTGATGGAAGTGTAAATCTTTGGAATGTTCAGACACTGAAATTGTATCGGTGAGTATATCAAATCTGAGGCAATTAGAAACGTCTTTTTCAGAATTATTAAGTGCATCTTTATTTGTACCTGATGCTTACTATAATGGAAGAAGCTGCATTCCCATTTCCAGTCCAATAGCTGTGTTGGTCATATGAACCAGAACTCTGGGGAGTTGTAGGCCCAGTAAGTCTTGAGGGTACCACTTGGGGAAGGCTGATTACTACTATATGAGACAGTCTGAAGATGGATAGGACTGCTTCTATAAAAGTCATGGCAAACTTGATCCTTGGACTTCATTGGATTGAAGAGAATTCTTGAATTTCAAGTACTGCCTGAAACTTCTGTTGCTGTTGTTTTTCCAAAATGACAAGTCCTTCTGTATCATTTTTAAAACCACTGTATCAAGTTTGAGACAATACAGTTTTAAGTAAGCATAATTATGATTTTAGGCACAAGCCCTCTAGATAAGAATGATCAACTTTCTTGTACTGTATTCACATTAATCAGTCAACTCACTTGGACATAATGCTAAACTGTGGCTTATGATAATGCTCCACCCCTCTTTTCCTTTGGTACAATGCAGTATCCTGTTCTGAAGTTTTTGTTTCCATGAAAATTAACAGCTGCTTGCTCCATTTTCTGAATCCAGGCATATTGCGGTTAATCTTAGAATAAATAAATTACAAACTAAGCTAATGATTCTTGCTTATTCCAAGTAATTATTAAGATTTAGCACAGTTTAGAATATTTAATATAAAATGTAGCAAAAATTGCTACTGAAAAAAGAAGGAATATAAGTAGTTCCCTAAATCTCACTGAGGCCTTTAAATATAGCCCTGGCCTCTGGCAAGGGATTAATAATAGAACTTGATATATTAGAGTTGCACAAATTATAATGTTATAGTACACTCGTAGGCAGTTTCGATATTGCTCTGTTTGTCACATCAAAGATTACTTTGAAATGTTTTCCTTTTAGATTTAATTTGTGATTATTTTTTTTCAAACATGTAACAGGGATTTAATTACCAAATTCCTTTATTCTTGCTTTTTAGATCTGGTACTGTTAAAGATGGGTCTTTGGTAGCTAGTGCATTTGCTCCTAATGGACGCTTCTTTGTGACGGGATCATCATGTGGAGATCTAACTATCTGGGATGACAAAATGAAGTGTTTATATAATGAGAAAGCTCATGATCTTGGTGTTACCTGCTGCGACTTTTCTTCAAGGCCACATTCTGGTTAGCTAATTTGCTATTTAAATAAACCCTTTTAATATTTTTTTCAGCTCCAGTCTTAAATTTTAATTGTATCCTTGTCCTTAGTATCTATAACTGATGAATATGGACTCCTTTTGAAGTTTCTCTTAAATCCATCTTTAACACCAGTTTTTTTTCCTTAAGTAATATTTCCTGGCTAGTCATCTGTCTCTTTTGCAGTACATATGGCAAGTAAGACTGCTATCTTAAAGATACTGGGGGTAAGCCCTATTGATCACAGTAGGACTTAATTCTTGGTATATACCAATTGGGACTGGAATTTAGGTTGCTAAAGTGATGCGGTTCTTAAGCAAATCATCATGTGACCAGACCTGATTTTACTACCATTTTTGCAACAGTTGTTAAGCTAATCACTGGTCATTAAGTGAATCACGCAGTTGTTTAATGAATCACACAATTCCCCATTGATTTTGCTTGCCGGAAGCTGGCTAGGAAGGTCGCAAATGGTGATCATGTGACCCTGGGACACTTCAACCATCATAAGTTATGGTCGTAAGTCCCCCTTGTTCAGTGCTGTCATAACTTTGAACAGTTGCTGAATGAGTGGTCATAACCTGAGGACTACCTGTGGAAAGAGACTGCTTAATTTGATGGGAAAAAATGCAGCTATAACTCATTAGATATAACAGCCAGCCTAGGAAATATTTCATTATACATCATATCACATTTTTCTTAGGAAAGGTTGGACAGGCAGAGATATCATTTTGGGAGGAGCAAATTCTTTTTATCATGGAAAATCTGTCTTGGTTCCTTCCAACAAGGAGGAGAAGACTATATAATCAAGAAAAATTGGTGATTCTCAAGAAACTGATTGATAGATTACAGAGGACAAAACAAAATGCAAATCCATTCATGCACTAATTAATCTTGAACACAGATTGTACTCCCTTTCTTGGTATTGTTTCTTGAATAAACTGTGTTTTTAGGTATCAGTGTAATGTCATTTAAACATAATCTAACACAGGTTGATCAGAACTTTTATCTACAGTAATTCTTTTATGATCTATAATTAACTGATGATATACATTTCCTCCATAGCACTTGCCTGTGGCACCCACATACCCACCCAGGCTCTGTAGTGCCTGTCTGTGGCATCTCCCTACCCCCCTGCCACTGTCCCCCACCTGCACCTCTTACCCACCAGCCTGCTTCCCTGGAACTCTCATCTCTTCCCACTTAATGACCTGCATGCTCCTGCAATTATGATGGCAACTGGAGCTGCCGGGATTGCTGTCACTTAAGTGATGTGGTCATGTGACATCACGCGTTACGACTGCATTGCTTAGCAATGGAAATTCTGGTCCCAATTGCTGTCGTAACCCGAGGACTGCCTGTATAAGAGTATCTTAATTGTTTTAGTACAGATCCCTGATTTATAATGTCTGCCATGGCTACATATTGGTAGAACTTCAGCTTCTTTTAATACTGGCATTGTGTTGCTTTTTTTCAGTCTGCTTTGCTTTGCTTTACGATCAAGATGGATTTTTTTCCCTATGATTTTGACATTTGCCCTTTTTCTTCCCTTTTGGCAAAATTACTGAAAGTTGTTATTTTTTCAATCCCACCAGCTACATCCATATTTCTACTTTCTCTGTAATTATTTACTTATCGGCTTCTTACAAGCAAAGCCTGTTATATAAATGTTTTTTCCCTTTTGTATTAGATTTTTTAGTTCACTTGTAAAATCCTGCTCAAATGATTCCCTAACCTCTGCAGCAGCTTAGGTAGATAAAACAGAGTGAGAAGAAATCAATTCTGCCATTTCATTTATGGATGAACAGGGTTGAGTACAATTAAATAGAGCAGTGTAGTACAATGATTAAAGAGACTCAGATTCAAGTCCACCATTAACAATGGAGACCCACTGGGTGACTTTGGGCCAGTTGTTCTCTCTTTCTTTTGTGGAGATAAACTGAAGGGAAATTCTGATGTAAAACCCCATGAGCTCTTGGAGGAAAAGTGTGATATAAATCTAACAATTTTTAAAAAACAAAATAAATAACCTAAACATTCATGCACACACGTTCATACATAGATAGGCAAATGTGTTTTACTGGACATTTTCCCCTAAAGATGTGATCATTTTTTTTCTGTATTGTAAGTATGGCTTACTCCAGCTTTATTAGTTTATGATCTACTATAGTATCCTCTTGCTGAATAGCTGTGGTTCTCCAAGTCTTCCTAATTTGTGGTAGTGCTCAACTCAGTTGGTCTTTTGGTTTCAAATTCCAGTACTGCAGAAAAATTGTCAGCATGCATATATCAAATGAAGTCCTTCTAAAATAAGTATGATATTTTAAGTTATCATGGTTAAGACTGGAATGAAAGATGCCCATTTATCCTTGCCATGCATGACCTACTTGGGATTCCTTGTGTTACGTTAAATAGGTGTGTGGATTAGGGGCACTGTATAGTGAAACTATTGTAGATTTGTTATGTCCAGGTGATTATAGGTATTACAAACAGTACACCAGACTTTGAATTATGCTCAGCAGACTTCTAATTGTGCTTAGTTCACCGGAAGCAGAAATTAAAAAATAGAAAACCTTATTTTGTTGTCTTTCTTGTGCATTTCTGAATACATCTATATCTATTTTATCAGATAACAAGCAAGATGCTGATTATTTCAAAATGGCATCTTCTGGTCAGGATAGCATAAGTAAGATTTGGCTCATTTCATCTTCTGATTCTACAGGTATGTATAATTTGAAAAGGGTTATTCTTTAAAAAATTACTTGTCTTTCAACTGCTTAGATTTTTAATTAGCTCCTGCTCAAACAATAAACCCATAAGAGAAAATTAAATGAAAGAAAGTATTTTACTGAACAGGTGAATAGTCCTTTTTGATAATACGAAAGGATCGCTTGTAAGAAATAGTTGATGGTACAATGCATTGAAGCAGCATATTACAATAAAGCAACAAAAACACCAACAATATTGAGAGAGAGAGAAAGGTGCAGCAAGTAATAGAGGTTACTCTTAAGGCAGTATAAAGCTCTTTCATATATAATTATTTATTGTCCATTATTTTGTTTGATAGTCAAAAGTTATACTTTTCATTCATTAAACATCTTATCCAGTGGTGTATGGCTCTGTCAGATTGAATTCTTCCTCATTTTGCTCCTAAATCGACTCTGGAGAGCTTCCAAAGCAGATTTGGAGGAGGGGGGCTCAGAAAATTTTGTCATCAAAATAGAATAAAAAGCCTTCCATTCTATCCTATTTTTATTGCTTAAGTGGAACACAGAGCTGGAAAATTTACAACACAAAATACAAGCTAGATATTGCACTGGGAAGAATGCAGTATGTTTTACTTTGTATTCAAAGGTTGCAATTTGATAAATAATATTTTCATTAAATATTTGTTCACTTTTCAATGTTTAGGATTTGAGCTGAGATATATATGTACTTTAAGTGGACATACTGCCCCAGTTCTGGCTTGTGCTTTTTCCTCCAATGGGCAGGTTTTAGTTACTGGGTAAGAGTCTTTGTTTAATTTATATATTTTACTTCTGCAGTTGGTTTGCTTAATTAGTTCTTAGTTTTTCCCATTTCTGTGTTTATAAAGATAGTCCTTTATTTAACTTTGTTCTAAATTGATAAATGCTAAGATGTCATTGAGAATACTGAGCACCATATTATATGGCATTCATCTTAGCTCATGAAACATTTTAAAGGGAAGACTTTTGAAAACTGTGTTTAACATTTATAATGAACTCAAAACTATTATAGACCAATTCCCCAAATTTAAAAAATATGTAAGGGAAAATATGCTTGCAAGTTCTGTACTTATCGTCAAACTTTCTATGTGAATCAGAAGAAAAAACTGTAAACAGCATGCTTCCATTAAATACATTTTCAAAAAAGTTTTTTCCAACAGGAAGCATAGATAAACAATCATACTGCTCCTTCTAACAGAGATAACTATCAAATTCTTAATTATTAGATTCTCAGCTTCTAAAAAGTTTAAATTGTTTTGATATAGCTCTTATCCTCCCAGATTGCTTTTCATTCCCTTCGCATTTCAAAGGAGGTTAATGTAAAGTTGACTATTCATGATTATCACTATGCTCTAGTACTGAGCTTGTGCTCATTGTTTGCTATTAGTACTGTTAGTTCTGATTTTTGTGCAACTAAAACCTTTTTCTTTTAACTGTTGCAAGACCAGTACTCATATAGTTATGTTATTTCATCTTTTTTTTTCCTTATTAGGTCTGTGGACAAAACTGTAATGATTTTTGAAACTGTAAGTATTTAATTATGTAAGAGGGAAAGTCATTATGCAAGGAAAACAATATATTAACATATATTGTTTCTGTCAATAGGCATTGGTTAGTTGTAATTTCTATTTCTATTCTATTCTATTGTGAATTGTTAGAAGTTAAACAAAAGACTTCTACAATTGTAAGCCTAGTTGTAAGCCTCCCAGACTTGTATGAGAATTGGACAGCCAAATAAATAAATACATTCTTAGAATAAGTCATTTTGCTCTTAGTCTTATCTCATAATCAGTTTAAACTAGATGTCCTTAACAACCCCATTAACTTTTTCCCCTTGTATATCAGTGAAGGTGTGGATCTTTTTAACATACAGAAGAACTCCTTTTCCCTTTCTGTTGCTTCTGTTCCTTTTGAAAAGTTAGTATCATCCCAATGCTGTATTCCAGTCATGAGACTCATCCCACCAAGTATTAGACATATTAAAAAACAATCACCTTTCTGTAATAAGTTTTAAGCCTCCTTGATCAAAGTCATGTTTGGCCAAACACGTTTTTCTTAATCATTGTAAGATCCAGTATGTCTTGTGTCAGCAATCCATCAAAAAATACATACTGGAGTTCCAGAAATTAAATATCTCCCATTAACACTATTTTCATAGCCAGTCATTTACCTGCTGTATTTTTACTTCCCTTTCTGATCCTCTTCTGTGGGCTGGAAGGATGGATTTATATGACCTTAGCTTCTTGGGTAAGTGGCTAAGTTCATGAAGTGCTTTTAGATATATCCTACTGGTGCCAATCAATTATCAGGGATGTTGTAGATTGGAGTGTAAAAGGGATAGCCAAATTAAGTCCAAACAGCTGTCTTCTGTTTCTTCTGCTATACTCAACTTTGAAGAGTAACAATTTTTTAAAAAATAAATACTTCCTGAGAGTTGAAAGCTGCTGAAAGGGATTTGACTCAGAGCGTCTCCAAATGCCAAACTAGTGTGTTCCATGACAAGCTACATAGGTCAGATACTTGCTTTAGATATTTTTTCTTTGAATCTGCTTGTTATTCCACATAATTATTTTTAAAAAGTATTTAGAACGTTTATATGTCGCTTGCTTTACAGTTCCAAGTAGTTTACAAGATGTAGGAAAAAAACCACTGTTTTGAGTTTGAGTATACAGTACTAGATTTCTGTTTCCCTTCTTGACAATGAGAAAATCCTCTATTTCATTAAAAACGGTTTAGGTCACTGGTTAAAAAAGATGGGTTGTACCTAATGTCAGCTGTCTGCTAGAGAATACTTTACCTCATCCAGTTACTAAAATCTATCTAGGGGACTGTGACTTTCTGATGCAGATTTGAAAAGAACACTTGAAGTGATGTGTAGACAGCAAGTAATATTCCCTTGTATGAGCATCTGTGTGATAGTGGATGTAGGCCAATGCAGTGAAATATTGTACCGAAATCCAAGCTCGTACTTGCTGCCTGTTTATAAGTATTTGATTTCAAGCTAGTTTTTTATGCATTCATATGATATTTTAATAGTAAAAGTGGGGAATACTTTGCCTAGTTTTTCTGAGATGAATTGGAATATGTATAGTACCGCAATGTCTTATTTTAGATAAATTTTAGAGAATAGCTTCATTTACGAATTGCAGAAATAATAAGAAAGACTTTTATGGCACCTTGAGAATGAGCAGATTTATTATAGAAAACTAAATTGTGCTGAATTTATGAATCGCAGAAATAATAGGAAAGACTTTTATGGCACCTTAAGAATCAGCAAATTTATTGTAGAAAACTAAATTGTGCTGAAAATAGTACTTAAAAGAAATTGCTTTTGCAGTGGAAGTAGAACAGTGTTTGTGAAGGGTAGCATCTAGTGGTCAGGACGCTAACTGCACGATCTGTTAACCTAAGGGGCGGCATAATTCTAGTCACATTTATGCTACTGCTTAATATTTTTGAAGGGTAGCATAATCCTAAATAGTCTTCAAAGAAATACACAAACATTAGGTAGCATTTTCTCAGAAATATTCTGCAAGAGAAGGGGACATTTTTATTTCTGTAAGCCCAGTTGGGTAAAGGATATTTGCAGTTTTGGAATTCTTCTCTGTGTTTGATAATGGTTCAGCTGCAATTTTAAATAGATTCAGTTTTCTGTGTTATAAACATCTGTAAAAGCATTCTATACATCTGTAATCTTTCGGTGCAAAAAGATTGTGTAGGTTACTTGTAAATTGCTTCTGCACTTGCCTTATTATTTGTTTGTTTGTTTATTTTGGACAGAACACTGGGAGCAGCCTGAACATTTTGACTCAGCACACCAGGTATGCCATTAGCATACATCATTCATAATATTAAACCAAGGATAGCTTTTGAAGTGTGACATATATCTATCAAGTAACTTGTTATTTCTAGGTATGTTACAACTTGTGCCTTTGCACCAGATATGCCATTATTTGCTACTGGTTCAATGGATAAATGTGTGAACATCTGGCAATTGGAACCAGAACAACTTTTTACAGGTTAGTATCAAAACATGTTGTCTTCTGCCTTATAAGTGTTACATCAATTTGTTTTATATCATTAGCACTCAAGTTCAAACCTATATACTTTTATATGGAAAATTATTTCTTTGTTGTCTTTTGTCTCAGGTAAGGCTCCAAACAGAATTTATGAGTTAAAATTTCAAAACATCAACCATAGATTATTTCATCAGATGGTTCTATATTGGCCAAATGTCTACAAGGATACCATGGTCAGTGTATCAAATGCTATAGAACTAAGAGTGCCCCTTAAGTGACCAAAACCTTTTCTCTTCCACTTCTAATCCCAAACCCAAATTAGAAATAACCAATTTTCTTCCAAGAAATAATTCCCATTCAATAAATTTTGAAAGGTACTGTGGAAATCTGGTTGTACTGTTGGATGAAATTGGCCGTCCCATTTTTACCCAACCTGGCTTTCATCACACATGCCAGTTCTCAATGTTAATCCAAGATTAAATCATAGTGTTCTTACGTACTTGTCAATGAATGTTAGTTTGTTGTACTAGTGGCCAAATCAAGCAATCCCATCAACTATACAAGATAATTACTTTAGCCAATTGGCTGAGATTGGCTGAGGCTGGCATCTCACCTGTCCCAACCAATTAATTCTCCCACAGATCACTCACACTGCTTATCAACTTCTCATTACATTGGGATATAGGCAGATCTAAAGGGATTGGCACTCATTTGTACTTGTAAAGGAATTACCCAAGGAAGAACCCATGTCTGTTTCCTCAATAGAAGTGCTAACCAATTTTTTGTACCACCCTAGATGGTGGTACAAATAATCTTTACTTATAATCAAAAGCAAGTTGTTCCATTTATGTGAATTTATTCTTTCTCAAGTTGGGCAATCCAACTTGATCACTATTGTCTCTGGCTTTTAAAAGGACCTCAGCGAGGAGTTCCTTACCCTGTTGAAATTAAGGGAAAAATCCATTTTATAATTTTGAACTGTATAAATCATGCTCTTTGATTGTTATTTGGTCTTTTATGTATGTCTCAAGATGTTATCACATAATGGAAACAGTAAGACAGTGCATTTCCTGTAGACCTGTTCCTCTCCATTAATTGGGGAAATAGGATCCTCCAGAAGCTACATGTTTTCATCAATTCACTCTCATGCTACCCACCACCTTGTTAACTCTTATGCTGTTCTCAATTATCTCTCAGTCCTCCAGAACTACTTTTTGGAAACACAGAAGGAAAAATGAATCAGATTTAAACATTTAGTTTCTTTCCAGCACAAGCAGACATTTGTTGAACACATTTTTGGATCAATGCATTAAAAGCAAATAATAAAGTAGTATTTGCCTTCTCTTAACTGTACAGTATATTAAGAAGGTTTATGCTATGTTGCATTTCCTAAAATCTGATTAAAAATAGAGGATAAGGGTTATATTTATGCTACCTTTCAAACTCTGAGCTATGCTTTAATTCTGTTTTTAATATATGTTATTCACTTATATGAGATTTTCCTTTTAATCTCCTCTCAGGAGGTCCTCTGATAGGGGAATCAAAGATCTCTGTTGATAGCTGGACAGAAGAAGATGTTTCAGTTTGGCTTCAAACACATAACTTACAAGACCTAGTTGAGAATTTTAAGAGAAACAACATTGATGGTAAAGAATTGTTGAGTCTTACAAAAGAGAGCTTGATTGATGATTTAAAAATTGGTAAGTCCAGTGAATGAAATATTTTATAGTACTATTTAAGCTGAATATTCTTATATACTCTGAACATAATCTATGCAAAAAAAACCCCAGCACTGCTATTGGTAACATTCATTGTTTTAGGAATATTTGAATTTTTCAGATTCTTTTTTTGTGAAACAATTGAGCAGGAATCAAATAATGATTTGATAATACAAACAAATGAGAATGAGGATTGTATAATAGAGTTGGTTTTGACAAGAAATAGCATGTTGAATGGAATTGGTTTATGAGCCAAATGTGTTTGGAAATGAATGATGTTCCAAACACATTTGGCTCATAAACCAATTCCATTCAACATGCTATTTC